CTCATCTACAGACAGGGAGACCTTTCCGACCTCTTCGTCTTACGGTCCAGGTCACCACAGATGCAAGTCCTACAGGTTGGGGCACTCATTGCGGACATCACCACGTGCATGCGTTGTGGTCAACACAGGAACGGGATCTTCACATCAACCATCTGGAGATCTTAGCCATCATGAAAACGTTGAAGTCCTTTTTCCTCTGGTGCAGGGTCGTGGTGTACGGGTAGTCACCGACAACACCATGGCCATGTACTATCTAAACAAGCAAGGAGGCACATGCTCAAGGTCTCTGCTGTTCCTGACTGTGATCCTATGGGAGTGGTGTTATTGTCATCATGTTTTTCCGGTGGCGATACATGTGGCCACAGAGGACAATGAGTTGGCAGACGAGCTGAGTCGTCTCACCAGGCAGACACATGAATGGGAGTTGGACGACAGTGTGTTCAAGGACCTGTGTCATCGGTGGGGCTTCCCGGTGATGGATGCGTTTACTACCCAGCACAACAAGAAATGTTCTCTCTACGCCTCCAGAGCCGGTTGAGGAAGGGACTCTGTGGGAGACGCTTTCATGACACGTTGGACTGCAGGCCTTCTCTATCTGTTTCCACCATTTCCTCTGGTACAGAGAACATTGGTGAAGCTTCACCAGGAGTCGGTGGAGGCCATTCTCATAGCACCTTTCTGGCCTCGGCAGCCATGGTTTCCAACGTTGATGCAGATGGCCACAGACTTTGTCAGGCTCCTTTTTCCTGGTCTGCTAACGCAGGACTTGGGCAAGATTTATCATCCAGATCTGGACACTCTTCATTTGACTGCGTGGAGGATATCCCCGAAATCCAAGAGGTCCTAAGCAAATCAAAAAAGCTTCTACGTCTCGTTTGTATGGTTATAAATGGCAAAGTTTTTTGAGGTTTACTAGATCTAGGAACCTTGTTTCATCCCCAGTTTCCTTATCTACCTTACTGAAGTTTCTACGTTACCTTTTCGACTTCAATTTGTCAGTTTCCACTTTGAAAGTTTATGTTGCAGCCATTGTCTCTTTCCGACCCCAGAACTCTACTGCTTCCCGTCTATTCTCTCATCCTACTGTCAAAGCCTTTTTGAAAGGACTTACAAATCTGAGACCTCCAGTTAGACCACCAATACCCCAGTGGTCTCTGCAGTTAGTTTTGCATGCCCTTTTGCGTTCACCATTTGAATCTATGGCCACTTGTGATATAAAATTTTTATCTTTTAAATGTCTGTTTTTGGTGGCTATTACTTCCGCTCGAAGAGCTGGTGAAGGCTGCCCTTAGAGCAGACCAGCCCTTTCTACAGTTCTTTAAAGACAAGGTGGTTTTACATACTGATGTTTCTTTTTTTTCCAAAAGTGGTTACTGAATTTCATCTGAATCAGCCCGTTATTGCCTACATTGTTTGCAAATCCTTCTACTGATACTGAACGCATGCTCCACACCTTAGATGTCAGAAGAGCACTTTCCTTTTATGTTTCAAAGACTAAAGAATTTAGGTCTTCTAACAGACTTTTCCTATGTTATTTTGGAAAGAAAAAGGGTTTACCAGCATCGTCTTCAACGCTCTCCAAATGGCTTGTCTCTACCATCACATTGGCCTGCGAACTTCTACGCAAGGTCCCACCTGAGGGTCTGAGGGCTCACTCCACCAGAGCAGTGGCATCTTCTACAGCCCTCCTGTGAGGCATTGATGTTACTGACATCTGCAGAATGGCCACTTGGTCTAATGCCTCCACCTTCGTTACTCACTACAGGTTGGACATGAGGGCAAAGAGAGAGACAAGTTTTGGGAGAGTGGTGTTGACATCCGTCCTTCAGTGACGGCCCTCCTTCCGGTGAGTTAGCGTGCTAGTCACCTTTTTTGTGTGCATTCACAGAAGACCACGATCAAGAAAGACGGGTTACTTACCTGTAACCATGGTTCTTCAAGTGGTCATCTGTGAATTCACACAATCCCGCCCGGCCTCCCCACTATCCGTCACTGTTTATACAGTAAATTCTAGCCCACTTGAGTTCATGTTCAGATGTTTGTGGTGGATAAATGGAACTGAGGCTAGGGCGGGCGGAGCATGCACAGTGCAGGCAACCCTAAACTTTGTTTCTTTTCTATTAAGCTCTAGAATATTCCGAGAGGACCATTGCTGGTGCTGGATTAACCCTTTCTGTGTGAATTAACAGATGACCACTTGAAGAACCATGGTTACAGGTAAGTAACCCGTCTTTTTTTTGTGGCCTTGGGCTATCAGTGACCCACGACAAAATATGCAGTGCTGAATGCTCCTCTCTGGTAGCACCCAGACAGCCATGTCCTTTTTCAGGTCATACTCCATTCCATTCTCACTCAACACTTTGTTTTGTGGTCCTCTTCTTACTGAACAAAGTCAGAAGTCCGCGCCCCTCAGCATTGTTCAGTCCTTGTCACTTTTGCTTCAGTCTTTCTCCATTACACATTTTTGTAACATTGCAAGTCTTCTGGGTTGCCTGGACTGACTGATTTCTCACTCTTTGGTATGGCTAGTGCTGTTTTGCTACATAAACATCCAAGCTGAGATAATGTGTTTGCCCTTAGTGTACAGGATTACTACACAAGCAGACATGGGGAGCCCAACTCTGTGATAAAGACCTTATACCAACCAAAATCTTGTAGTGCTAATTTTTGCACAACATACATGGAGATGAAATGTGATTTTGCTCAGATGTGTTATTGATGTATGCAATTCTGCTTCCCATCATCAGCTAAGGTATGTCAGAGAATAAGATTAGTAAAGTCTACATTCTGAAACCTTAAGTTGGTTCTCCTAACTATGAGCAACAATGACATGTTTGGAAAAAAAATTTATTATTCTTAGATTATAAGGTAGAAACACAGACACCTGCCTCTATACCATCTGAAGCCATAGTCCATCTAGCCTAGTACTGACAAATCTGATTCCTGTTTCTGTCGGAAAATATTGGTATTTTCTGTTGATCTTCCATCCAAATATTAAACAAATCAAAACTCGCTTAGCTTACAAAATGAAACAACATATGCTACATTCAGGGTGATATAGTGGTAATATAGCATCTGAATTTTAGCTTTAAAACATTTGCAATATGTATAATTAAGGATTACATTCTCTGCAGTGAAAAATCCATCCCAATTTAGCAAAGTACACGAACATTCTAATAATCAGGACAAATACCACTGGTTGTGGGAGTTCTTGCCCAATTAATTAGTCACGTTGCATTTTTAGCCAAATTCTAAGTCAGCAAAAATGCAGTAATTTCAGTTTTGTCTTGAATGAGATGTAACCAACTGAGGCCTCAATTGAAAACAGCAGTTCATACTTCCTTAGTACATGCCGTGCTGCCTAATACCCAGAAGTGCCAGCATACAGCATAACTGAAAGGAGCTACGTGAGGATTTGACTGCCGGGGGGGAGCGCACAATTTTTTCACATATACTTCAAGGCACTGCTTCAAATGCTCCCATAAAATGAGAACACTTTTCTGTATCAAAACATAAAAAAGGAAAGGAAGCTCTGCAGTTCTAGGATTATTATTAAAACAGAAACGATGTCTTCAAAAAGAAGAGCGCAAAAATGAAGCTCAACATCAAAAAAACTAAGATCATGGCTACTGGTCCCATCACCTCCTGGCAAATAGAAGGGGAAGAGATGGAGGCAGTGACAGATTTTACTTTCTTGGGCTCCATGATCACTGCAGATGGTGACAGCAGCCTCGAAATTAAAAGATGCCTGCTTCTTGGGAGGAAAGCGATGACAAACTAGACAGCATCTTAAAAAGCAGAGACATCACCTTGCCGAGAAAGGTACGCATAGTCAAAGCTATGGTTTTTCCAATAGCGATGTATGGAAGTGAGAGCTGGACCATAAAGAAGGCTGACCGCCAAAGAATTTATGCTTTGGAATTGTGGTGCTGGAGGAGACACTTGAGAGAGTCCCCTGGACTGCAAGGAGAACAAAACTATCAGTTCTGAAGGAAATTAACACTGAGTGTTCACTGGAAGGACAGATCCTGAAGCTGAGACTCCAATACTTTGGCCATCTTATGAGAAGAGAAGACTCCCTGGAAAAGACCCGGATGTTGGGAAAGTGTGAAGGCAAGAGGAGAAGGGGACAATGGAGGACGAGATGGTTCGACAGTGTCATTGAAACTACCAACATGAATTTGACCAAACTCCGGGAGGCAGTGGAACGCAGGAGGGCCTGGCGCGCTCTGGTCCATGGGGTCATGAAGAGTCGGACATGACCTAACAACTAAACAACAACATGTCTTCAATGGGAGATATTACACATGAAAATTACAAGCTTGAACCATAAATGCAATCCTCTGCAAGATTTTACCAAAAGGTGTCCTTTGCACTGGAAATTCTGATTTCCAAACAGGAATTTGTTTATATATATTTAACTGAATCATGACAACTGAGTCTACTTTTTTTTCAAATCAACTTTGAAGCTTTGCCTGAATTTGCACTATACAGTACTATCAAGGTGAAAAATAAGTGTTCTCCTTTCTACACATTTGGCTGAAATTCTGTTACTCAGTTACGCAAAAGATGTAACTTTTGAAAGCAGATTGCCATAAGAAATCTTCATAAACATTTTCTGTTGCATGCGGAGTCACATGAGTTGGCGCACAGAGAGATCTTAAATTACAGCAATTTGCTTCCAAATTTATACCTTTTGCATAAAAGTGAAACAGGATTTCAGCCTTTGAGTTCATCAGATTCACAAAAACTTATCCTGGGTTTGAAATAATTAGGAACCCATAAATCCCTTAGCCAAAATGTTCAAAATGACTATCTGTAACAACCCAGGTAGAACTAATTGTTTATGTGTAGCATTTTACTGCAAACACCTAGGTGATTCCCACGGAAGTTATATTAGTTTTGTTGCTTTATCTGGCCCAATTTACTTCAAAACATTATGTAATTTTTTACTTCTCCTTTGAAAAAAATTACAGTATTGCATTTTTTAAAACTTTCAGCTGATTTTCATATTTATTCTCTTCGGGAGACAACCAATATAATTCAAAACAAGATAATATCCTCATTGGCAAAAGTGTCGGTGGAAATGAGAAGACAGCCAACACAGACTGCTTCAGCTTCATTCATCAATCCAAATAGGGCAGAACTTTATCTGCTATACAAGGCCACCACGTATGTGATTGTTTGCAGAAAGGTTTCAATATGCATCATAATTACAGAATAAAATGTCAGTGTCAATTAGTTGACTCCAAATTTTTTTGGAGGGGGGGGGAATTCCACAGAATATTTCCAGTAAGGGAGCAGTTACACTATGAAAAAAATTGTAAGATGGATCAAGATATTTGAAGTTGGGGTAAAGTCGTGGTAGTCACATGGTTTTTGGATTGGTGTGTGTGTCTTCTTCTGATAACTTTAACTCCCCCCTTTTTTTCTTGTTTCCTCCAAAAGCATCCTCCAAAAACAGTCCCCTTTTTTGCTTACCCTTTCAATCTCCAAGCAGGCTGTTTTTTGTTAAATTGGCTTTCATGCAGCTCTGCCTTTTTCCTCCCCACCTTAAAAACAAGCTGGTTCAGAAAGAGTCAGCAGAGTTGACCAGGCTCTCTCTCTCTCACTCTCTCTCTCTCTCTCTCTCTCTCACACACACCCACACACACACACACACACACACACACACACACATATCTGGCCGGAGACTCCTCACCAAACCCTTCTGTTGTGTGCACACTGTCTAGGCCACACACATAGAGTGTGTGCTTCTCAGTGAAGAGAGAGGTACTCAGCAAAAGGGGTTACATAGACTTTAAAATCGTTTTTCTTTACAGCAGGGGTACCGTACTTGGTTCCCTCGGCTGGGCGTGGACGAAGGAGCTGCAACCTTGAGTCAGCCCCTCCTCTTCAGAGACACACTCGCTTGCTTCTCACGCTCATTCTCCACCAACTTCACCTATTGGAAGCAGTGATCCGGGCAACCAAAAGTTAAATCTGCTAGCTTTAGTTATTTAATTAAAAATGTTTTGAACTGGCATAGTGGCAAAGTATTAAGATGCTAAAAAAAGGGAAGATTTTTTTCAAAAAAAGAGTTCTTTTCCTTTCAATAATGTTTTTAAAAATCACTGATTTTCATCCACCCTGGGCTGTATCACTGTGGTTTATTTCTGAGCAGATATGCATAAAATTGAGTTGTGCTTCAGATGATTGGTGCAAATATGCCCACTTTGGAAAGAATGACACGTGGCCCTGCCTGCACTGTTTTGATCCACACTTCCATTAGACCTTAGCCCCACCCATTGCTGGAATGCAGCTAAAATGACATTCCCAAATTGGAATTTGGTTCTGGGAGTGAGAAATGCTCCCAACCTCTGAAACAGATGCTGCTTTCAAAGTGTACCTAGTTAACTTTTTTTCATATGTACTCTAGAGCAGGCATTTTAATCAGGGACTATATGGCCCTCCAGGGGAGGCAGGCACTTTTGGAGAGGGCCACAGACTGGAAAAAAAATCATCATACACAGACTTATAAGGTTTATTATGTGACTTATACAATTCTGATTCAGCCTATATTTCTTCCATATTGTGCTTACCCAGCTGTGGCAAAAAAAAAAGAGATTGAGAATGGCTGCTCTAGAGTAAGCACAGAGGTCAAATCCAAATAGGGACACTTGCTTGGGTAACTTTAACATTTTGCCCTCCACAGTGGTTCTGATAGAGATGGGCACCCTGGTGCCAACAACTTTTATTGTCAGAAAGTGGCCTATTTGCTTGAATTGATACATTCTGACATTGAAAATAAAGCACTTGTGTAGGCATCCTTCAGTCTTGAGACTATGGTAACGTGCTCTGTATGGAGGTCTTGGAACAGCGTTTAGTGTGGCTGAGAAGGCCAATTCGAGAGTGACAATCCCTCCACAATGAAGACAAATAGAATCTGCCCCCTATCCAGCTCCCTGGTTTTGCTGGTTTCGGGACTGCCTCTTTGCCTTGGCCTGCTGGACAAAGGTCTCTTCAAATTGGGAGAGGCCGTGATGCAACACCTGCCTCCAGGCTGAACGCTCAGATATCAGGGTTTCTCATCTGTTGAGGTCCATTCCTAAGGCCTTTAGATCCCGCTTGCAGATATCCTTGTATCGCAGCTGTGGTCTCCCTCTGGGGTGATTTCCCTGCACTAATTCTCCATACAGGAGATCTTTTGGAATCTGAGCATCAGCCATTCTCACGACATGCCAAAGCTAACGTACACAGCACTATTTCAGTAATGTGTACATGCTAAAAATTCCAGCTCGTTCTAGGACTACTCTATTTGGAACTTTGTCCTACCAGGTGATACCAAAAATGCGTTGGAGACAACACATATGGAACGTGTTCAGCTTCCTCTCCTGCCGTGCACAAAGGGTCCAGGACTCGCTGCAGTACAGGAGTGTGCTCAGGACGCACTCACAAGCACGTGTGAGTGTACGCTAATCTGCAGCAGAGCCATACTAGGTAGCAAAAGGTTAATCTCACACTAGTTTCATAATCCAGATCAAGTCACTTGTGCAGACTTTAGAATAAGAAAAAAAATACACAGACACTAGCCACATTTTAAGGTATTGTACTGTATAGCGTAATCTCGTGTTACTTTTTAAAAAAAGGTTTCCTTAAGGCTACAGCAGAGTGACCAAAATCTAGAGTGGCTAACTCATGTGTAGAAAGTAGTTCCATAGGTAAATGAGGGTGGCCATTTTTTAATCTTCACTGGGATTCCCTCATACCTCATAGGAATACAGAACAAGAGAAGAGCCCTTGAACTTTGGAAGGGATATATCTGGAAAGAGGTAGCTAGAAACATGCAGAAGGCCACATAGAATGATCCGGGTTCCAGCCATTTTAAAAGAATTAATAAGCAACCTTCCCATGCCCTAGAGTTGTTTCAGGGCACCAACATTCTCTCTAATTTTCTGCCCTGCTGAGCCCTCAAATATGTGTCTCTGCCCCCCCCCACACACACACGCAGGGTTCTGTCACAACCAGGACCAAAGGGGCTGGAAACAATCGCTGTGGATACACAGAGGAGGAGGAGCCCTGCATGGAGGGGGGCAGAGTCACTTGCACAGCCACGTATCTTAGAGGGAACCCTGCAGGGGCATTATTCGATGGCAATGGAAATAACTGCTTTTCTGCAGCCACCAAAAACTATTAAGACTAACAATGTTTTGCTCTTGTCATTCTGAAAGATAAAACAGAGGAAATTAATGAATGCGATTAATTTTCTTGTACTGAAAAGTACAGAGTGTAAGGGACAGGAGCAGATGCAAAATACGTTCTAAGCCAAACCACAAACCTACTTGAACTTGATGCTACACACCCATTCTGGTTTTCAGAGCTAAACAAAATTTCTGACCAGCTCTAATTAAAAGTGTCCCTTCTCAACCTCCTCCTGCTCTCATTATACTTTACTATGTCCTGCAGATGATCACTCTCTAGCCACACTGGGTGCTTTCGTATAAAAAACAAAGTTCCATTTGAAGACCAAGTATTAATCTCTACAAGCTCTTTAATGAAGCTGCTCAGAATAAGGCAAATTTGTGGAAGTTTTTTTCTTTATTTATCTTACAGGACAGACAGTTATGTGGATTAAGTAACAAGGTTCACTATCCAAATAGTTAATACTTTTGGTAAAAATACAATTAATTGGACCTCAGTTCAGTAAGTTTTATTTTTTCCACTCAGTTCAGCTTTTAATAGTAGGCCTTCCACTGTTGAAAATAAAGGTTTTCAGCAAGAAAAATAAACTATAAGGGCAAACATGTATCATTCTGAAGTATGCAACTCAGAATAGTTTTTACATGACTTCAAAGAAAAACCACCAATGATTAAAATGGAGGACACTAAAACCTTATTGTGGAGTTGGCTGCAATCTCTCTCTAAGCTTAGTATGCAAGGACATCTAGCAAAACTAGAAGTGAACATTACAAAATCTCCTGATTTTAGTCAAGAATAATGATAATGTTATTTGTATGTCTACAGCTTTATAGGAAGGATTGTGCCTCCAAACCTGTTTCTACAGAAATTTGCAAGCTGGAACATTGTTTTTAATTTAAAAGGAAGCAGTCACATATGACCTGTAACACAAGCAAAGGCCATGCAGCAAACTAAAAAGCTATAAAACAGAAAGCTAAAGTTTTCAAAAACTTGGTTTAAAACTTGGTTCAAAAATGGTGAGAAGTGTTTGAAACCACTGTGGACACAGATGGCCTATCTAGGTTCCTACCACTGATATATACGATATATCGTATTGTATCAAAGATTTTATTTTTAGAAGCCACAGTGCAATTTAGGCTATACTGTACTTGTGCAAACAGAGCAGCACATATTACTTGACAAGCTACGCAGTGCAACTTCATTACACAGGGAGATATTCTTCTGTCCAGAACGTATTCCTTCAGGAGCATGTGCTTGATCACATCTTCAACTGTTTTGATTTCGCCCCACCCCCCAAGGTTATGCTACCTTTGCCTGATGAAAAGTTCTGGAGAAACTGAAAAGTCCCCTCATCTGTAACTTTTTAGTAATCTAATAAAGGTATTACTCAACTCAGAATTTCATTCTGGATGGCATGGGTTTTTTCTATGTATATAAGTGAAGCCAGTGCTGAAGAGAGCCAGAATCAAATGGGGCAGGGGCCACCTCTTTTTCTCTGACACTCTTCTTTCTCTAGTTGACTTATTTTCCCCCCTCCTTTATTTCTTCCTAGAAATCTGCCAGGAAGAGGAACAGATGATTCTTGCCTTGGAAAGCTTTTGGAAAAAAATTAACAAGTATTGCATATTGCCCATCCATCTCTAGGGAGCAATGATGCCAACTACATTAGGGCAGCAAATCATACAGAATTTAGCAATTCAGTCTGTAAGCATGCAGTTATAGGGCAGGAGGTCACACTGACAGAGTGTGGCTGGCAGTGCAGCATCCTGTCAAACTACTTGCTTACAATACCTTTACTCAAAAATTAGAGATAATTATTTGCTGTATCTTGAAGGGAACTGTCAGTGCGCTGTTTGTCTGAGATTGTCCCTTCATCTTAAAAAAAAAACCTACCATCTAGAAGGCAATGAAAGATGATGTACTCTCAAAGCAGAACTGATAAGTAAATAACGGAAACTTAGGAGGTTTCAATGTAATGATAATCACTCTTATTGCAGTTATTCAATAGTTCACTCTTCCTTTCTCAAAAGACAGTCAATGGGGTGGTTTAAAATATAATCAGTAAGAGTGACAGATCAGGACTTTAGAGACCTGGGTTGAAATCCGTTTGGACATTCAAAGCCAACTCCTTGGATCTCACAAATCTTGAAACCCCAGTCAGCTGTTGTGAGATATTGTACAACTAGATGGCATAGAATGTACTGTACATATTTTTTTCCATTGTGCAAAAATATATTGTTTTTATCTTCACAGGAAGGCAGACAGCCCAGCTACACTAGCTTTGTCACCATGCTGAATAATGGCAACTATAGGAATATATGGTATATAAATAATGAAGGATATGTTGTAACACGTAAAATTCCACATGTGCTTCTCATAATTCCTCTGCGATGTTTGCCAAAGAAGGCATGCAGGCCTTTAACAGTGGCGTGACAGGTGACATTCCCTGTACATGCAGCTTTTTCCTCACCACATACCCAAGCCCCCCTGCCTGCCATACTGCCCTGGAGCTGAAGCCAACGTCTGGAGAGTTGTAAGTTCTCAACCCCAGTGCTAAAATCGCAACACTCCTAGAGGGGGGTGGGGAAGCAAGCCAACGTGAACTCGGCCACCGACGGGAAGAGGAAGGGGTGGAAGAGAAAACCAAATATGGTTTCCCCGCACTTCCCATTCCAGCATCCTAGGTTGTCACGGGGGGGGGGAGCGTGAGGCAAAAAAAAAGTTTTTACTCATACTGAACCTCCACGCACCCAGTTCCCCAGATCACGCCGACTTGCGCAAGCGCATGTCACTCACACCAACGAGCCCGCTTGATTTCACATACAGTACAGTAATTTCAACCCCTCCCCGCATTCACACACCACTGAACCAATCCCAAGCGTCAGTTCTCGCATTCTCTCCTGCCGGCATGCTCTTCGATTCGCGCAGTGCGTCATCAGCCGTCCCTTCTTATTGGGCCGCATGACTTTTCCTCCTCTCGGTTGGTTGGCCGAAGCAGCGAAAGGACACGCGCTCTCCCGCCTTTCTACTACGACGTCCAATAAGGGCTCGCGTAGAGAAACACGTTAGAGAAGCTCTGGCTGCTGGACTCCACCCTCCTGGGGCTCCGTTTCTCCCCCCCTCGCCCCCGCCCTTGCCTGTGTCAAGTGGCGGCCACCAACGTGGAGAGCGGAAGCCGCTGCCGCGTGAGGAGGAACATTAGCCTGCGAGCGCTGGTCAGCGCGTGGACGGCGGCCGTTGAAGACCGAACCAACTGCCTCCCGTGAGAGAAACAGGGGAGTGGCTGCGAAGCAGGAACACAGCAGGCGCACGTGAGGCTGCAGGGTGGTGCCTACTTCGCACTTCTGAGGCGAGGCGACGCGGGGGGGGGGTGTCACACGCCGCCTTTCTTTCCTGGCTCCCCTCACGCCCAACGGTCCCTGGAGGATTTTGAAGCCCCTCGCCGCCGCCCCCTGGCAAGAGAAAGCGTGAGGCGGTGAAGAAGACACGTCCGGTCAGTTAGCCATAACCGGTTTGAACCGGAGCGTAAGGAGGAGCTGCTGCTGTTGGGGCTGCCGCCATGGCTGAAACGGAGGAGAGGAGCTTAGACGACTTCTTCGCGAAGCGGGACAAAAAGAAGCGGAAAGAGAAAAGCAGCCGCGCAGGGGCCACTTCGGCGTCTGCGTCGGCCGCCTCTTACAACGCCTCGGCGGCCAGCGGGGCTGGGGGAAGCCGGCAGGCGGAAGGGGGCTCGGGGGCGGCCTCCAATACCAGTGCCACCGCCTCTGCCGCCTCCTCCGCTAAGGCGGCGCACAAGGTAAGGGCTGGTGGGGGACCCCAGGGCCGAACTGGGTCGCTCGTGGGTTCGAGTCGTCTGGGAAAGACGTGGGGGAGGGGGAGAGGAGAGCCGAGCCCTTGCTCCGACGGCTTCCTGTGGGCGTTGGCGGCTTCCTGTCAGCAGAGGGCGCCCCCGCCGGGTCATCGAGGTGGTGGGGCGCGTGGAAGTCGCGCCCTTCGACCCCTTGAACTTCGGGGACGGCGAGGAGGAATTGGCACGTGTGCGGTGTGGCTCTTGGTACAGAACGTGACCTCCTTGTGTTCCAGCTCTCGCACGGCGGCCGACTCCTTTGTCAGCTGCACGACCTCCTTTCTCCCTGTGTTCCCTGTTATGTCACCGATAATGAGCCAGGAGTGAGTACTTCTTACTCTTTTGAGATCGAGAGACATGGCCTCAGCAGGCTAGGCTGTGGTTTCCTCTGGATTGTAGTAGCTCGTTAGGGAGATGGCGTCGTTTTAAGAATATGCCACGGAAGCAGAATGGTAGTGTGTGTTCACCAGTAAGTAAAGGAGTAGCAGGACAGTGCATGTCCTGTTACTTTACATTGTTTTTGGGAAATGGTTCCTGAGGAGCTTGACTTAATTGTATTGGTAGAGCTTTTTTGTTATGTAGATTCAGCTTAGAATTCCTGAGTCGGACTAAAGACCTTTCTAGTCCACCATTCTGTTCCTACAGGGGCTAATTATAAACTTCTAGGAAGCCTCATAAACATGACATAAGTGCAGTAACACACTCATTATTATATTCTCACTTGTAAGAAAATGATATCAAGAATTATATTGCTTCCCATACAGGAGATAGTCTCTCATTGTACCTGTTGATGGGAATAAAGTGTTGTTGTTTAGTAGTCGTCATGTCCAACTCTTCATGACCCATGGACCACAGCACACCAGGCCTTCCTGTCTTCCACTGCCTCCCGTCTTCCACTGCCTCCCAGAGTTTGATCAGATTCATGTTGGTAGTTTCAATGACACTGTCCAACCATCTTGTCCTCTGTTGTCCCCTTCTCCTCTTGCCCTCACACTTTTCCAACATCAGGGTCTTTTCCAGGGAGTCTTCTCTTCTCATGAGACGGCCAAAGTATTGGAGCCTCGGCTTCAGGATCTGTCCTTCCAGTGAACACTCAGGGTTAATTTCCTTCAAAATGGATAGGTTTGTTCTCTTTGCAGTCCAGGGGACTCAAATGTTGCCTCCAGCACCACAATTCAAAAGCATCAATTCTTTGGTGGTCAGCCTTCTTTATGGTCCAGCTCTCACTTCCATACATCGCTACTGGAAAAACCATAGTTTTGATTATGCGGACCTTTGTCAGCAAGGTGATGTCTCTGCTTTTTAAGATGCTGTCTAGGTTTGTCATCTCTTTCCTCCCAAGAAGCAGATGTCCTTTAGTTTCGTGGCTGCTGTCCCCATCTGCAGTGATCCATGTCACTGCCTCCATATCTTCCCCTTCTTTTTGCCAGGAGGCATGATCTTAGTTTTTTGGATGTTGAGCTTCAGACCATTTTTTTCACTCTCCTCTTTCACCCTCATTAAGAGGTCCTTCAATTCCTCCCCACTTTCTGCCATCAGAGTGGTATCATCTCCATATCTGAGGTTGTTGATATTTCTTCTGGCAATCTTAATTCTGCCTTGGGATTTGTCCAGTCGCAAGATGTATTTTGCATATAAATTAAATAAGTAGGGAGACAATATACAGCCTTGTCATACTCCTTTCCCCATTTTGAGCCAATCAGTTGTTCCATATCCAGTTCTAATTGTTGTTTCCTGTCCCACGTATAGGTTTCCCAGGAGATAGATAAGGTGGTCAGGCACTCGTGTTACTTTAAGAACTTGCCATAGTTTGCTGTGGTCACACAACACAGTCAAAGGCTCTTGCGTAATCGGGGAATAAAGTACCCTGACATAATTGTAAAGTTGCCTGTTCTCTCCACCCGCAAAGGACTGTATTGGTGCAAAACCCCAGTTTTCTTAGGTTCACTTTAGTTTTGCCATCTTCAGTCTGTAGCCTATTAAGTGGTTTCCATGTAATGTCGTTCTCCATGTTGCCAGGAGCTTTATTTTCTTGGAGTTCTAGCCAGTTTAACAACTTGATAGGTCTTTCTTTCTGTGTTATTGTCCTGGCATTCTTTGCTGTTTCTGCAAGATTCACATTTGTTCTGAAAAATCATTTCCTGGATTCTAATGTCGGAGAAGGAGATGTTGACCCAAGAGCTGACACACATTAGATGGAGATGCTTTGGGCCTTTCACTATTAGTGGCTAGCTCTCTCCATATACAGTGGTGCCTCGGTTAACGTGCGCCTCGGTTAACGATGAATCCGCATAGCGATGAAATTTTTGCAATCGTTTTTGCGATCGCATTGCGATGGTTTAGATAGGAAAATATCGCTTTGCGATGATCGGTACCCTGTTTCGCATAGTGATCATTGCATAGCGATGATTTTCCAGCAGCTGATCGGCTGTTCCAAAATGGCCACCGGGTAAATAAAATGGCCGCCCGCTGTGTTTTTGCCCAGATTCCTCGCTTACCGGGCAGCGAAAATGGCCGCCGTATGGAGGATTTTCGCTTAAAGGTGAGTTTTTTGCCCATAGGAACACATTAAACGGGATTTAATGCATTCCTATGGGCTTTTTATTTCCACATAGCGACGAAATCTCTTTGCAGCGATTTTTGCTGCACAGATTATCGTCGCTATGCGGGGCACCACTGGGTGCAGCAACTGCTATGTGTATGATCTCATTGAAAATGTGAAATAATGCAGTGTCTCGTAAGATTCCCCAAAACTCCAGACAGAGCTCTTGCAAAGTACAACATCTCTCTCCTTTTGGTCCTAAAGTAGTTTTCAGGTTTATCACAGAGTTCCACTAGTGCATCCCTTCAAAGATTTACAAAGGGCTGATGTACAACATGAAGACTACTTTAAACTGATTTCAGTAGTTGCTGTTCCAAGTTATATGTATTGAATTCAAAGTTTGCTGTATAAAACGTGTTTGTAACCTACTCACTGGGTATTATACCACCAGCTTGGTAGGTACCATTAGTGTAGAAAGAAACCAGGTTTTGCATTTACAGATCTTTTGTTGCAAGAGTAGTTTCTCTTGTTAAGGTAATAATATATTGACTCAGTCAGAGGAGGATTTGTGCCACCCGGTACCTAAGAGTTTCCCACTTCTGAGGGAGAGCTACTGTATTCCATTCATCCCTGCGTGTTTCAGTGCATAAAAATCCTTTGGGTTGCCCATGCCATGTCTGTCTCTCAGACGTGTAGGGAGAATTGGTCATCTGTGCAGTCCTGGGCCTCAGGAATCATACCAAGCAAATTTCATGAGTATGTGAGGAGTGTGCTTCCATTTGCTATATTGTATTGTACTACATCTGTGTCAACCGTCTGTACAATACATTTTAAGGAATCCATGGCTTTCTGTCTTCATTTGGTCTTAAAAGCACAGGCTCATTGGAGTTCTGATTCTTCCAAAACTACCAGTTAGCACAGTCTGAACCATAGTATGTCTTAGTGTTTCTTATGTGATTTTATTTATTTATTAGACTTATATGCTGCCCATCTAGACAATGTCTACTCTGGGTGGCTCATAGCAATTTGATTTTAAGCAATTAAAATAACAACAATATAACAATAGAAGGTCATTCAAGATGAAGAATAAGAGAATAGATTAAGTGGTGCCTGCAGGGAAGGCCTGCCTGAACAGCCAGGTGTTAAGTTGGCTTTTGAAAATACCCAGCAAAGGGGCCAAAAGGATCTTGGAGGTGAGATTGTTCCAAAGACAGGGAGCCACCACCGAGAAGGCCCGGTTTCTTGTTTTTTCTTTCTGGATCTCCCTTCGCGTCAGGCTCCTCAGCCGCCCCTCCTGGCTAGAGCGAGTGATACGAGTAAATCTAGGTCAGTTATCTCCATGAATTGCCAAGGACAACAACTGTAGCAGTCAGAACAAAATTACTCTATCCATTTGACAAGCAGTTGTATTAACCTTACAGGCCATGAAGAGGAAGTTTTATAATGAATGAGTCAAAGCAGCTTGCATGACACTGCTTTTTATATGCACTGCTTAGTCCAACCTGACAACACTCCACTTAATTAGTGTTTTCATCCAGGTAGAACAGGTAATCGAAACAAATTAAGTAGCCATTTGAATAAGATGTAAGTTAAAAATACTTTGCATTGTTTTAAGTTTAAGTGTTTCAAGCCAATTTCAACCAAGCACCATTTTGCTAACTGTGCTGATATACTTAAGCCTCAATAACTCTTACAAGATACTTTTAAAAACAAAGAAATATTAATTTAGTGCTAATCAAAAGCAATAATATGACTTCTAAATAACTCATGTTCTCATTCATTTATATTAAATGTATGGTTCACTTTACACCACAGTGTCTTGAGGCAAGTATTTTTCAGTAGTTTAAATGTGGCGCTGTCTTTCTGTGCAACACTTGCATTCATATTTCCTCACCATTACCAGTGCAAAAAGAAAAGCAGAGGCCCATTCCTGGTAGCCATCTCTGGTGCCCAGACATTTGTGAAAATAAATAAGCCTTTGCCCAGTGCAGAAAAGGGTGACAGAATCAATGCTAGATGAGATTTTGGGGGGACATACTCTAAATGATTTATTTTGAGTTGCAGCATAGTCATAGTGTGTCTTTAGTTTGAACCTGAGAATTTGGTTTACAGATATGCCAGTACCATGCACAATCAAGATAGGTACATTAATCAGCTATGCATGTGAAGTGATCTGAAACTTTGTGAAGTGCAGTCTGCTTCTGCAATAAGTAGTGTTGTGATTCAGCAAAAGAATGGATGTACAGTACAGTATTTAATCATATATTTTTCTTATTACACAATTTCATAGTTTTGATGTAATGTTTGTGTCTTACAGGAGGAAGATGACTGGAAGGAATTTGAGCAGGAAGAAATAATTGACTACAGTGGTCTCAGAGTTCAGTCCATGCAAATTAGGTATTACTGTCTTTAAAATCCATACATGTTGAAAGAGGTAGAAAAGCTGAAGTCATGCCACATAACACTGATGACATCATTAGTCACAGTGATTTTTCAGAAGTAAAAAAAATATTGTGACCTTCCCACCCCCAAAGGCCCTGAGGCCTGCAAGGAGTCCCTTTTGTAGTGGGAAGAACATTTGGGGTTGCAGGACAGAAGGGAGTCTTTGGTTTCCGAAAGTCAGCTTCAGGAGGAATTTTAAAAAGAAATGTCATAATCAGCCTTACATGGTGCAACTTCTGCAACTAGGACTTCAACCACAGTATATTAACCTATGGTTGGGCTTATTCTAGCAGGCTTTGTATGGAGAAGAATTATGGATAAAGTCATATGTCTAAATCTCACTTGCTATATGATAGCTTGCATTATCTTGAAGACATCTGTCCTTCATATCTTAGCCACTCTTGTCAAATCTATTTTAGTATTACTGAGAAAAAAGTAGCAGACAGAGATTTCTAATCAGTTGTTCTTTGTTGGTGCCTCTAAAGTGTGTATATCTACATTTTTTCCTTTTGTTCCACGTTGCTTTCATATCATGTACAGTGGTGCCTCGCACAACGGGCGCCTCGTAGAGCAATGAATTCGCTCTACGAGGCCGTTTTTGCGATCGCAAATGCGATCGCAAAACGATGCCCGTATAGGCGCAACCATTTCGGGGCTTCCGGCAGCGTTTTCGCGCGCTCCCCTTGCTTACCAAGGGCGCGAAAACGCTGCACCCCGGCCCCTTTCGGCTGATCCGGCGGCCATTTTGGACCCGCCGGACAGCTGATGGCAGCCATTTTGGCGCCCTCGTTGTGCGAGGGGAGGGCGCGAAAATGGCTGCCGGCCCCTGGGAAGCATTGCACTACGGGGAGGATTCTATGGCATTGGAACATATTAAACGCTGTTTAATGCGTTCCAATGCCTTTTTGTGTTCCGTAGTGCGATGTTTCCCACAGCGAAGGTTAATCCGGAACGGATTAACCTCGCTGTGCGGGGCACCACTGTATAATGTTCCTTGAACTAAGTTGGAGTAGCATGTGTGTTAGGAATTTCATTTGTTACCCCTTGAGTTGTATGATTCATTAAGCATTCTTTTGCACCATTTTTGTTAACTATACAAGCCTATTTTATGAAGTATAAATATTCCAGTTAGGCTCTACTTCCTCTTGTTCTGTCCTTCAGTATCATAACACATAAGAGATTGAACAAATTAAGAAATGCTGCACTTAATATCACATTATATTGCTGCTTTGTGTAAGGAATGGAGACAACAGCACTTTTTGTTTTTTTGTCAGTGAAAAAGATGACGAAGAAAGTGAAAAGAGAGAAGAATCAGGAGATAACAGTGAAGAACCAGGCGGGGGTTTGGATAAGTCTTCTGGTCCTTGGAATAGGTCTGCTCCTACACAAGCACCTGTTGCTGAAACTATTGGTCAGTTCCCCCCTCCCCCAGTTAACTATAACTATCACTTGCATAGCTTATATTGACCTGATTGATGTGAGCCTTCCACTTGTGCAAATCAAAATAATCTTAACTATTGAATTATATTAAATAATATGATTCATATAAATCAGTAAGTTGCTACTTCTGTGAGTGGAGAAAAGGAACACAGGACTGAATTAGTATATGTGTCCAGATTTGTTGAATGCTGTTATAATTTTAGTAATAGTAAGTAAAAGTTGTGTAATATTTTGGGCACATGATTGGACTGCATATTGCTCCTATCTCCATGCCTTATTTTAGTCAGAGCTAGAAAAATACTTCATATTCCTTGGTGCTCAGATTATCAGTTCCAGTGTTAGACGTTAATTTTCATCACCTGGAACACTTGTTATGTGCCATAAAGTTGAAACCGACTTATAGCAACCATGACAAAGCTTTCAAGACAAGTATGGTGTTTAAGAAGTCATTTAACCAGTTTCATTTCCCCAGTGAGTTTCCATGGCTGAGCGGGAAATCGAATCCTGATCTCCAGAGTCCTAGCCTGTCACTCTATCCATTACTCCAAGTGTCCATTGGTGCATTTGCCTGGCTTCAGACATAACTGCATTTCCCCCTGTATTTAAAAGAATATGCAAATATGTTTTTTCTTTCTTTCTATACATTTTAAACTGTATAGGCAGGTGTCTTCTAACTCAGAGGTCCCCAACCCCTGGTCCATTGGCCAAGTCTGACTGGACAGCGAAGACAGACCTCTCCCCCACACACACACACAGTTGATTTGCACACGCGCTCCAGCGCACTTGTGTGACCACTGTGCCACTGATTTGCCCATGTGCATGTGCTCGTTCGTGCATGTGCACGAGCGTGGGGAATGCCCCCCTTCCACAGCCAGTCTGCGGGGTGAAAAAGGTTGGGGACCCCTGTTCTGACTAACATTAAAAGAACTGGAGTATCAAGTAATGAAAGCTCCCAATACAATTAGAAGAAGAAAATTTTAAATATTGGCAGGGATTAATGGATTTTGTAATCAAGGTAAAAAAATCTAGAATACAGTCAAACCTCGACCTATGAACTTAATCTGTTCCGGAAGGTCGTTCATAGATCGAAGCACCATTTCCCATAGGAATGCACTGAAAACCAATTAATCCGTTCCAGCCAAAGAAACGGAAGGCACTGAGGCTTTAAGAAGGGGGGAACCCTCCAACAACAAAAAGTAAAATGACCTCCCTTGTTGAGGCTTTAAGAAGGGGGAAAACTTCCAACAACAAACAGTAAACTCACCTCCCTTACTGAGGCATTAAGGGGAAAAAGCCACCAACAAAACAGCACAGAAACATCCTCCCCAGCCAAAACCCACTCAGAAGTTTTTTAAAAGGAGAAAACAGTAGCTTAACTCCCTGCAGACACACACTCAGGCTCACTCGGAAAGCAGGAGCTCTCTCAACTGCGACACACCCCCTAATGGCCAACAGAGCTACAGGACAAAGAAGCAACTTCTGCACCACCTATACAGTAGTCAGAAAGTTGAATTGCCCGCCTTTTTTCGCTGCATGTTTCTGTACTCATGTCGAAGTTCCGTGCACAAGTCAAAGCAATATTTTTCTATCGGAGTGGTTCGTAAGTCGAAACATTCGCAAATAGGGACATTCGTAAGTCAAGGTTTGACTGTAAATAAAAGATATTGGTATAAGGCTCAAAAAAGGTGGTTTAGGTATTCCTAATATAAAAATTTATTATACAGCGAATCAATTAAGATTTATTGGAGATATATATAACAAGGGAAAATTTATTTGGTGGGATATGGAATTCTCAGAAATAAATGGGAATGTTGAAAAATATTTGTTTAATGTATTAAAAAGAAATACAATAAATCAGGTGAATAACCCCTTTTTAAGAAATATGTTAAATATATGGAATGGACATAGAAGTTATGTCCTTTTACTTCATTATTAAAATTAGTGACTGAAATAGAAAAATTTCCAGCAAACTTAAAGGTTTTAGTTGTTTTGTTTAAGGACAAAAAGTTGCCAGATTGAAGGATTGGATGATTAAAATAAGATCAAAGGATCAGATTATGATTAAACTTCAAACAAATAAATTATCATGGTATAATTATATCCAGTTAGATAGTTGGACAAATGAATGGTTGGAAACTAATGGCAAATGTAGAGAATATACTAAGTACGAACAATTTCTATCATCACATGAAGGTATCCACAAAGATGCTTTGATGAAGGGAGTAGTAAATAGAATATATAATCTAATTTTGGAACAAGAGGAAAAAGAGACAGAAACAGAAGGTTTGAAATTAATTTGGGAAGATGATTTAAAGACAGAAATTAAAATAGAGGATTGGATAAAAATTTGGAGGATGAGAGTTTTAAGGTCAATGTCAATAAGAATAAAGGAAAAAAAATTAAAATAATTTTAAGGTGGTATAAGACTCCGGTGAAATTGAATATAATAAATTCTAAAGCTTGTTGGAAATGTGATGAAGAAATTGGCATGTATTATCATATGTGGTAGGACTGTAAATTGATTCAGAAATTTTGGAAAGTGATTTTTAAGGAAATATGTGATATTTGGAAAAGATATTGAATTTAACTCTAAAATTGTTTTGTTGTCAATTTTTGATAAGACAGAACTTGATTATTGTTCAAAGGAATTTATTTCCAATTTTATGGCAAGTGCTAGAATATTAATAGTTAGATTCTGGAAAGACGAAAATGACATTAAATTAGAAGATTGGTATAATGAAGTATGGGACATTGCATTAAATGATAAATTACTGAATTTAAGATGAAAAGGGAAAATAAGTTGAAATATTTTTATGCTATTTGGGGTAGATTTATTGAATTTGTATTAGTGAAAGGAAAGGGGAAAGCCTCGAAAAAACAATCAATACAATTTTGGAAAGGAAGTTGTAGTAGAAGTATTGTTCTAAGGAGTCCTGTGGGTATGGGGTGCACAGTAGTTTAGATTGTATAGCAGGTATTTTATATTTTTGTATTTGTTTTTTTTTCTGAAAAAAATTATTTTAAAAAAAGGAATATCAAGTTATGAAAACTGTTCCGTATGCTATTTTGTATCAAATGCATCTAGACAAAGCAACAAACTGGTGATAAAAGTCACTCATACAGTTCCTGTTCATTTGTGCACATGATTCAAAGAAACCTGAAGCTTCTGTTTGTCTTCTGGAACAGTCACATTTTCTGTTTTATCTTATACCTTGAGTTGTTAACAAGCATGATTTGTTAAAATAAAAATTAAGGAACAAAGTCACCACTTCGAGGATTACAGGAAAATTAAGGATTGTTGCAAATATGAAATGGAAGTTTCATGTTTTGATCACTGGTTGTGAAGAAAGAGTCTACAGTATAGATCTGGAACAAATGCTAATTTCTCATTCTAAGTGTAGCTGTTTAGAAGTATTTTTAATTTTTAAAAATGTTTTAATATCAGATTGCAAGTTAGAATAAAGGTCCCTCTACACCAGGTGATTTGTTATTGTATGCAGATTTTCTTTGAATTCATAAATTTGAGGTAAAACCACACAATCCAATGTAAGATACGTCCCACTTATCTGATTACACATGACTGTTTGTAAAACATTTTTTGTTTTATTTGCAGAAACCCCAGAGCCAGTGCAGTCTGGCATGGTATATAGGCCACCTGGTGCAAGAGAAGGCAGAACACGAAAAGTGCCACAAGGACCTCCTGAGATCTATAGCGATACACAGTTTCCATCATTGCAGTCTACTGCTAAACATGTAGATTCTAGACGGTAAGTATAGTGATAGTACTCTATATAGTTGATTAGAATTACTTTCCCTGACTACTTCTTCAAAGCTTTGTAATCCTGTTCATAGATTTAAAAAATACATAGTGTGATTTAAACCAAAATAAGCAAGTAAGTTTCAAATGGAAATATGTTGTTTTGAGCAACAGTTGAATTGTATGCACACTTGAACAAGATGCTTTCATAAACAGTTATTACTTTTACAGAAAGATGTTCAGAGGGGTGGGATGGTAGAATGCTCTAAAGGTTGATTGTTACAGAATGAAGTCTGCTGACAAATACGGTTTTTCCAGAAAATTTTTCAGTCTTAAGTACTGAGTTTGTAACTGAGAGTTAACTGGTTTTTCCCAAGAGCTTGAGCATGCTCAATGAGAGCTTTCTTTGGACATCTGGAGCATTCACACATATACTATCACAAACTGCTTATGAATGTACCCACTCTGTTTCAGAAGGGTTTGTCATTAGGGACTTCTGCTGAAGAAGCACAAGGTCCACCTCCCATAGGTGTGTAGAACTATTAACTGTGTAGTGCTTCAAGCAAAAGTCTGTGCTTCAGAACAGCTGCCTGGGTTACCATCAATAAAGTATTGGTATATTAACAATTTTTCCACATACTGCTGTTGTATTCAAATTTAAATGGGAACATGAATTAGCATAGCTCCTTATAACCAATCCTGTCTTTTCCGCTAGCACTTTCCTTCATAGCTTTGAAGTGGTGTGTTTGAACAGAAGGTCTCAGGTCTGCTGCTGATGTTTCAAAAGTAGCAGACCTGGGAAATGCCACTGAGACTTGTTCAAAGAAGTCTCCTCCCACTGGCATGCACAAGCTCTTAGGCATGGCTACACTGGTTCCCTGGATGGGGGGGTCATTACCTGTCTTGTCAGCAGCCCAGTCAATTGAACTTTGCTACCAAAAGAAGCATCACTGAACAAATATTTCTAAGGGGCAAGTGTGTGTGAGACACTTACTGATTACATTTATTTTCCCTTAGGGATAAAGAAATGGAGAAGAGCTTTGAAGTAGTAAAACACAAAAATAGAGGTAGGGATGAGGTTTCAAAAACCCAGGCAACTAAACTTCAGCTAGACAACCAGTATGCTGTGCTTGGGGATCAGTAAAGCTACACATACATTGCAGTTAAGGAATGGTTATTTGATACCCTTCCAGTCTTAAGGTAACTTATCTACACCTATTATGAACATGCCGTCTTGCTGGATCTACTGCAACAAGTGCAGACTACTTTGACGTAAGTGATTGGTCCTTCTGCACTATGGAAGTATGCTTAATTTGGTACAGCTGACCTTTTCCTTTGGATAAGAGGGAATTTAATGTAAATGGTCACACAAGAATCCCACTGTTTTGATTACTTTGCTGCCAGTGGTTATTTCAAATTTTTTTATGTTCAGATACTGAGCCTTCGTAAGGGTTGACTACCTCAGATTTGCTGCACTCATTGTGGACACCATATGGATCACAACTTCTGGAAAAGGTTACAACTCTTAGTGGCCATCTGAAACTCGAAACCAGCTCTACTGGATTCCTATCAGAAATCCTGCAGAAGTCGGCCATCTGGGTTCTGATTTAGTATAAACAACAAATTTAAGTGACCTTAAATGAGCGACTTGTCCTGTGCCCCCATTTATTGCATCCTTTTATGTGTAGCCGTAATTTACTAGGAACCTCTAGTGTGTAACATTTTCCAAAATATGCAGCATAGTGTTGCTGTAGTTTACTTGTTCGGATTTAGGTTACCAGAAAATAAATAACACATGCAGCTAGAGAGACCTTAGGGATGCTAATCTGTGTATATTAAATGGTTTCATCCATGTTCATTCTTCATTTTAAAAATGCCTCTCCTGGCGTGAGAAATTTGCAGGTAGCAGTATGGAATATGCAGGCTGTCCATACTTTTTGTTCTTCTTTACTGGCTGTCAAGTGACTGTGATCTCTGTAGGTCTGCATTCAGTGGCCAACAAATGTCTGTGCTCCACGGAGTATTTGAAGATTAATCTTGAAAAACATGTGCCGAATACTTAGCCTTAACAATACTTTATGGCGAGTATCAGCTGTTGGTAGCACACACAATTCTGTTTGCAGGATGAAAGCAATTATATGCCTAGTAAAAAAAGTCTGTGGTTTCTGATTGGTTCAAATTCAGAAATAGTCTTGGAATAAAGTGTTGTGCTTATGGCCTTTTTTTCTGTTGCCCAAAGATTTAGTGACAACTTCAGTTTAGTCAGCCTTCTGACTAACCATGTGTCCATTTATTTGGAGAGATAATAGTCTAATAGTACCTGTATACTAAGATTTGTTCTATATTGTACTGTATGATGCTAACAATGAATACCATTAAAACCAACTGTCAAAGACGTTCCTTTGATACAGAAGATAATCAGTTTTTCCTTTCATCTAAAACTTGGCATGGCCAGTGCTGTTATGTCTTTAGAGTCAAGCTATTTTCTGGAATCTTGAACAGGAATTTAGACCTTATGAAAGTGCTCCATTTTGTGAGAATTGTACTTGTTCTATAAAAATATTAGTTTTGTAGCTTATTACTGGCTGTGATGTAAAAATCATTGATTTACTGAAGAAAAAAATGGCATTTCTTCAGCTCAGATGGCATTGGCATTATACCTACATCGTTTCCTGATAGGATTTGGAAAAACACCAATTAAATATTTCCCTTCGTATATAAAGACAGGCCACTGGATACCTTGATCCCTGGAGGTAAATCTGTGGCTAACAGCATTGAGTTGTGTGTCCCTCCGGAAAATGTCTTTTTGACAATAAAACATTTACAGGGTATTAAAGCTAAGGAACCAGAAGATAATGTGAAACTGTATGTCACTTGGTGACATACCAGAAACAGGCAACTTTAAATCCCAGCGTTGGCATTTTGTTAAAACTGATGTATGTAAAAAAATCAAGTTAATATACAATAGCAAAATTAAGTTCTCCTTTGTACCTTGTTCTGAATTCTTTGGCATAGTTGGCAGGACAAGGTAGCACTATAACAATGTAATAAATGGAAATGTGCATGGTTCCTGGAGTCTATTAAAAATACACGTGTCACACCATTTAAATAAAACATGGCAAAACTGATGTCATCAAAATGATGAACTGTGAAGCTTCAGTCTTATGAAATTACAAGAGGGGTAAGTTCTATTGGGCTACTGAGTTCGTACCTCTGACTTTACCATCATTAGCAAAGATTCCCGACTAAGATTAAGCAGCAAGTGAATTTTGTGTGGAAGCACAGTCTGTTAACTTACACTAAAGCAGATCAGCACTTGCCAACCCTGGTTGATACTCTTCAGCAGCTCTGCATTCTGAAGCTTCACAGAGAAGTGTCCACATGGAAGAACACCCTTTTGTGTAAACATTAAGCCACTTAATCATCTGCTTAAGTCATGAAATTATTTTTTTAAAATATAGGATACTCTAAGAAGCACAGTGAATAGTTGGTTTCACACTGAACTCCCTCTGTACTCTTATTACTCTGATCGGATTATATGCATGTAGGTGATCTTGTGACATTTAACATTGTCAGAGATTTCTGCATTTCAATATATGCCTCACTACTTTGCCAGTGTAATAAGATACATCATGTCACGAAGTTGGCCTACAGCTTGTGATTCATGAGTGATATAGTAACACCTCCCATAACAAACTAGCTTAATTCTGGACACTGATTAATACTGCAGGTGAACTTGATTTATATTCTCATCATTTCTGAAATGCACCTGGCAGTAACATGCTGTATCTGTCGCTGGCCATAAAAATCTCAATCTCCATCATTGAATTACTGACAGATTTTTTCAAAAGCTCATGCTGTATTGTGCTGCTCAAAGTAGTTACTAATACTTGCAACCAAGACTTCAATATGCACTTGAAAGCCAACTTTAGACAAAGGAATGTGGGGAATCAGAAAAGCCAGGCAAATATAAAATGGGCTTTTATTTATAGAAAGCGTAAGGAATATATGGTGACAGTAGAGCTTGTTTGTGTAACAGCTGTTTTGTTTGAAGCATGCCTGGGTCATTTTTAATACACCTGTGATATTTTCTAAGTGGCAGTAAAGACATCATATGGGATGGATGTTCATTCTGTGGAAGTAGTAGGCATGCCTGAGAACCTTTATGTCATATTCTGAGGCTTCTGTACAAATGCTGTAGTGATGACTGCAACATAAGCCCTGCATCGGTGTGGCTAGTAGCAGCAGTGCCTGTACAAAGTAGGGGATCATGATCACTTCATGCCAAACTGCTGGTGGGCTCACTCAGTGATGCATAAAGCCCAGCCTGCACACAAGGCCCACTTAACACATATGCAGTTAGGTCCTGGTGTTGGAACCTGCATGTGTCAGCTGCTGTTCAGACTTGATGTTCAGTTTGTTGTCTGTGTGTGGCTTTTGTCATCCCAAGTTTGCCATTTCCATTCAGGATTTTCAGTTATAGTTGTAACTGAATAGCCTGCTTTCTGCGTACTGTTTCTATTTGACTTCTGTGGGATCTTTATTTGGAAATGTTTAGTACCTAGGCCATAGACTGATGTTATGATCGCTGATACCCATATTATAGCTGAAAGTGAACTGCAGACATTGTGGAGGTTTCTTTAATAACCTGTGCCTAAGCCTAGCTGACTGCAGAGACAGTTGACCTGACTGCTTTCAAAACCCTTTTTAAAGCAGTGGTAGGGCAAATTCTATCTGATATATTACGCTTATACTTTGTATACAGTTTACTTGCTGAAAATAGCACAATGAAATTGATTTTAACAACTAAAAAATTCCATGAGGTATAAATAAAAGATAAGATCCTAGAAAGCAGTATGTTCATAGATACATCAAAACAAGGAAGTCTGCCCACAGTCATTCTTCTCCCTCACATAATGTCATTTGAAAGCCTTGGTGCTGCTATAATACTGCATTGGATATAATGTAGGTATCCAAGATGAGACAGATGAAGTGCAGAAGATTCAGTGTAAGGTAGAAGAGGCTGCTTTGAGGAAGCAAACAACTACTTTGGCCTAGCTGTCTGTATTTAAGAAATGTAACTGAAGTATGATGCAATTCTACACTTTGTACCATTTCCTATTTTAGGAGTGTGTGTGGATCATATAATGAACACTACTTCAGGCATCTTAAATGCAGAAAGTTGACAGAAGAGGGAGAAGGCTACACTATGCTTGTCCCCGATTCACTTGTTAAATGAAGGCAGCTTCTATAGAAAAGTGGATTAAGACTACATCCCACTTGCAATCTGAAATGGGACAGTTGAGAATTGTTATGACTTTTTTAACAACATTATTTCAGATGTTCTGAATGGTTGGACAGAAATAATGTAATGACAAGAATAAATCTTTCAGGATCAGGGATTATTGCAAAGCAAATGTAAGCCTGCATAGTGTTTCCTTGCAAGTGGTTAAATACATGAGAATGTTTCTGAAATGCAAAATCAATTATCTAATTAAACAAAGTATCATTTCAACAAATTAACCTAGTCAGCTGTGCCATCAGAAATGAAATGCGGAGAACTTTTACAGAACGGTCACTTATTACAATTTTTAAAATGTAAAGGGGCAAATCTATGAACATAGATGAAGAAATCTGAAATGTTCAAAACATGGCATAGGAATGATGGAAGGCTTGTTGTGCCTCAGCTTTCTAGGCAGTAAAGAGAATTCATCCCTACCTCACAGGGGTGTTGTGAGGCCAACTTCATCGTTTGTAAAATGTGTTTGAATTTTTCTGATGGACGGTGCTATAGAAGTGCAAGACATAACTAATCAGCAAACATCTGGGTGACTGACTCAATAAGAAAATACCCAACTTTGTTTTCATTACAGTATTTTGCTATTATTATAGAACGCTTCCCTACAAAACATTATTTAAATATATGGATCATGTAACTTTGGACTTTGCAAGAAGGCATGGTTGAGTTTTCAATCTCTATGCACCCTTTCTGGTTTTATGTGATTAACTGTGCAGATCTAATTGTATTAACAAGGTTTTTGGATTTTGCATGGAAATTAAGAGCAACTATCATTTTTTTGTAAACTCCTTGAAAGAAATAAAGTTATGTTCACACTGTTTGTTATCCCTTTTGTATGACTCTTTCACTGGTCAGTGGCAACAGGTCATACTGGCTGGAATCCTGTTTGTCTAGGCATAACTTAACGTCCCTGTGTCAAGTGTGCCACACATTACACCTGGCAACAGGATCGTGCATTTCGTGACAAGGTACCTAGTGTGCCTGGAGAATGCTTTGTGAATCATACTTCCACTTTGGTGGAGTAGCTGGGAAAGAAGACAGACCTATGGAAAAATATTTCAGATACTGACAAAGGGCAAGATTTTTCTTCACATCACCGAATTTTCTCCCTTTACTGTGATAAACTCCCTCACAACAGGACATACTGACTTCTATATTTTTCTGTTATCTCCCAGCAGCACTTACTTACACTCCACACTTGTTTATCTGCAACATTTCCCAACCTTATGCCCTCCAAATGTTAGCCTACAAATCACTTTATTACACCCAACACAGCGAATGTCTCTGGAGCCTACCAAGTTGGGGAAGACTGCTTTGTGGCATTTCTCAATTACTGTGTTGATAGTCTGTATGCCTCCTTGAGATCATCTATATGGAGATTCTAGAAAGCTCTGGAATTCCAGCTGTGGATAGACTTCTACCAGTCCTATGTTCCTTTCTCACTAAGATAAAGGACAAATACGTATCAGGTCAGTAGGAATGTATGTCTGGAGTAATAAGGACAAAGGTTCATGTGCCATGTAGGGGATGTGACCAGTATTCCAAAAAAACTGCTCAAATTCAGCAATCTGTTGAAGGCATCTTTGTTCGTGGGGTGAAGAGTCACTTTTGTTCTACCTAGCTTACTCTCCACCCTTCCAGTCAGAAGTACTACAAACCCTAGAAGTGCACATTTTTACAAAGTGCATTTTGAAACACTGCTACATGGCACAAGCTACCTGGTTCTTTGTGGTCGCTGTGAATGCACACAAATGGGTTAAACTGCCTGCGCAGGACTCTTCGGAATATTTTAGAGCTGATAAACTGACCAATAAAATGTTTGCCCGTGTCATGCATGCTCCACCCGCCCTCGATAGCTCAGTTCCTTTTTGCCACTGCTGCAATAGGACTTATTCGCGTTGCTAGAGCTTGAAATTCTTTGAAATCTTTGGCTTTGGATCTCAGACTGTTTCCTGACTATGTCTTCTCTTCTCTGGATATTTTGACACGGACTGACCTGGTTTTCAATTATCATTTTTTGATTCAGCTAATTGTTATATCTCATTTGACCCTTGAACTGTTTACATATTCTGATTTGGTTTGCGGATTGGACAGATTGATTCTTCATAGTGGCCTCTGTAGCCATGGCTCTAGTGGACATCTGTGAATTCACAAATCCCTCCCTTCCTCCCCTCTGTCATGGTACCGTTTACCTTTATTTAAATACCTACTCTATATGGTAATGGCTTTCAAATATTGTGTGTCGTGTGCTGGTAAAATCCTTTTCAGATAGACACGACCACTGTGTGTTCTGCTTGGGAGAAAGGCATCAACCCAATTCATGCCAGGAGTGCAAGAAATTAACTAAACCTGCACTCAAACTCCGTTTACAGTGACTCCGATCGTACCTTTGGCAGAAGTCGCTAACACCGTTGGGCCCTGCAACTATGGAGTCTGTAGTGCATTCGGCCCTTTCAACTCCTTGTCCTGATACCGCTGCCTCACAGGCACCTGCCATCCCATCATCAAGGGCTTCTTCCAAAATCTCCAAACCACAAAAGTTTTTGGTATTGGCGTCAACATTGAAGATACCACCGACTAAGATCCCAAGAAGAAGACAGTGAAACACAAGAAGGTCAAGCACCCTTCTAAGTCTATGCAAACTAAGGAACTTCCTCCGGCTCGAGGTGCTTTACCATCACCTATCCTCAAAGAACCTTCCAGGGACGTGCACGATCCCGAGTCTTTCTCGGTGGGGGGTGGCTATATACAACAGCCAGAACCACAAGCTTCGATGTTGGTACCGAGCCTGTCTCTGACCTCAGGCCATCGTGAGGCTGATGTATTCTCCAGCCTGGCCTCAGCCCATTTGGACCCTGTTTCCACCGGGTGGGCAATGGTGATTGAGTTATCTAACTTGGAAGTTTCACTGCAACAATCTCCTCTTCATAAGCAGCTTGCAAAGTATCGCATTATTTCCACGCCGACAACTTTCTCAGCAGTGAGATGTGATAGTACTCCCACATCCCTCTCGGCATCATGCTTTTCTGGAACACCAGGAACCGCTTTATGTAGAAATGGATCATTATGGTGGTCGACACCAATACTATGAAGACAACTTTGACCCCTGATTTTGACACCAGTGAATATATAATACTCAAAAGAGTTAGGTACATTTATGCTTCGCCATCGGAGTCTTCTCAGTCACCGTTGCAACCTCAACATTGGCACCAAGTCTACATCCAGCCCGACCTGACAACTTTGAGGCATACCACCAAATGTATGCTTCCTCAAGACCAGAGTACACTTCACCCTCCAAAGCGTTCTCGGGATCCATCAGTACCGTCATCATTGGTATCGCGCCCGAAGTCCTCGCACTCTCATTCATCTCAACAGACAGTGCATACAAAGACCACTTATCCACCTGAAACTCAGTCTTCTGTACTGGTTTCACGGGCTACAGCCTCCATATTGAGGGTTCACCATCGTTCTCCCTCACCTCCCAGGGGTTCATCATTATCCTCCGTGTCACAGCAGGACCATCGTTCGGAGGCTTCTACAGAATCACTTTCAAACTTACCTACACCAGACTCTGATATGTCTGATATCCATCCCCCATCTCCTTCTGAAGATTTTACCTCATATTCCCAGTTAATTTTACAGATGGCCAAGTCATTGGAGCTTAGCACAGACCAACCTCCTCCCACCAAGCAGGACTTGATCTTTGAGCTTGGCCTTTATTCCGTCTTTATTAAGGAATCATGGAGTCAGCCATCCGCATCTCTACAATTGTCAAGACACATCAAGAACAATTACAGAATGCATGGTGGTGATACAACTAAGCAAACATCCTGCCCTGAACTCCATCATTGTGCAGTTGAGGGCCAGAAATCGTTCCAAGGTTGCCCCTACTAATCCAGAGGGTCGTAAGCTGGATGTTTTAGGCCGTCGCACAGCGTCATTCATAATGAGTCTCCAATTATCAGACAGCGATGGGCGCCTACCAAAGACAATCGTGGAACAAGATCCTGCCAGTTCTACAAGCCGCACCTGAAGAGACTAGGGCTGCAGCTCTCAACGTGCACCTGGAAACAACGTTGGCGAAGCAACGACGACTGGCGTTGCATCATCCAGCCAATGCTGCTTCCAAATCTCTGACATCTGCTATCTCTCTTAGGAGGCATGCCTGGCAGCGCTCAGCAGGCATCAATGACGACACCATGTCCCGTTTTGAGGAGCTGCCGTTTGATGGCATGGGGCTTTTCAGTGAAAACTGATGAGGTGATGGAGAATCTGCATAAGATCAGAAAAACAGCAAGATCTTACTATGTCCAGCAGCCTAAATACCAACAGCAGCAGTGGCATAAACCCATCACTTCTTACAATTCATACCAACAACCTTATCAGCAGGCCTACTGTCAGTATAAACTTCCTCAAGAAAGATCTAATCCTCCTCCATCTTCCTCTGCCACTACCTCTTTCCAAACTCAAGCTTCTGGTCAATGTCATCAGAATTTCTGTTGCCCTGCCAAGGGCAAGCAATATCTTTGACTGTCCTCTACTGAATTCTCCTTTCAATCTGTCCCACCTTCTTCGTCTAGCCCCCCTTTTTTTTGGCAAGTGGTCTTCAATCACCAAGGACACTTGGGTGCTAGCCATCATACATTTTGGTTACCTGTTAAGAGTTTTCAGATCTTCCTCCTCTTGGTTATATCAAAATCACATCTCATTCACCTGCTCTAGAAGTCGTCTCTGTTCCTTCTCCAAAAATATGCCATTCAATGCATTTCTTCTCAGGAAGCACTGGACGGCTTCTATTCCCAATACTTCACAGTTCCCAAGAAGGATGGAGGCCTGCGACCAATTCTAGATCTCAGCTGTCTGAATACTTACCTTCATCCGAGACGTTTCAGAAGGGTCACCTTAGAATCCATTGTCCCTCTTCTCTCTCCAGGCAATTGGTTTGTCATGATAGACCTACAGGATACTTATTTTCATACTTCCATACACAAGCTCCATCACAAATATCACTGATTTGTATTCAAAGGATCAGTGTACCAATTCTGCAGCCTACCATTTGGGCTTGCCACCGCCCCAAGAACTTTTACCAAGTGTCTAGCTCCAGTAGCAGCCTATCTGCGTCTAAACAACACCATGGTATTTCCATACACAGACGACTGGCTGATCGTAGCAGGCTCTTGCGCCAAGGCACAAGACACAACTTTTGTGTTACAAACTCTGGCAGATCTGGGACTTCAAGTCAGCTTTACGAAGTCCCATCTTCAACCATCTCAAGTCGTGAATTACATTGGTGCAGTTTGGACTCCAACAGAGCCTCCCTGCCGAGAGGATTATCAAGTTACGTCGTGCTATTCGCCATTTCATCTGGGCGCCAAGGTGTCAGCCCATCACATGCAACATCTTCTGGGTCTTATGGCTCCCACCATGTCTGCTCTCCCTCATGCATGGCTGGAGATGTGTTCACTGCAAGCATGGTATCTCACTCAATTCGACCCGATACAGGACAACCACACCACATGGTGGACATTTGGGCCGCATCTTCTGATTGGTCGGCCTTTCAGACCACTTCAACTGTCTGTTCAGATTATGACACCAGCACAACAGGATGGGGTGCGCATTGCTGCGCTCACAAGATCCACACTACGTGGTCCAACTCAGAGAACCTGCTGCATATCAATCATCTGGAAGTGCTCGGAGTAATCAAGGCCCGTCGCGCATTCTACCCGCTGGTGGTCAATCGTGGAGTACAAGTGGCTACAAACAACATGAGCACTCTATACTACATAAAGCAGGGAGGCACGCACTCGTCGTCTCTCCTATACTTAGCAATCCACCTATGGGAGTGGTGTTACGATCATCACGTATTTCCCATTGTCATCCATGTGGCAATGGAGGACAACATTGTGGCCAACTGCTTGAGCCGTCTGACCACTCTGATGCATGAATGGGTCCTCGATAACTCTGTGTTCGCCCAGATCTGCAGACATTGGGGCACACCGGCTATCAACATCTGTGCCAATCAGCTCAACACAAAGTGTGATCGATTTTCTTCTCGAGCAGGGAGAGGCATGGGCTCCTTGGGAGATACCTTTATGGTGAAATGGGATGAGGTTCTTCTCTATCTCTTTCCTCCTGTCCCACTCATTCAGAGGACGATAGTCGGAATTCATCAGTTGCGGGCGGATGCTATCCCAGTGGCTCCGTGGTGGCCTTGGCAGCCATGGTTTACCACCCTCAAGACAATTGCGACAGATTACTTGAGACTGCCTCAGCAACCATCCTGACTCAGGAGGGAGGCAATGTCTGTCACCCAGATGTAGAATTGCTCCACTTTATGGCTTGGAGGATTCCCCTGCTATAAAAGAAGTGCTTGAACGGGCTAGGAGGCCTTCGACCAAACTTCTGTACTCTTATAAATGGTGGGTTGTGACGTTTACCCACGTGTCCCCTGCCTGTTTCACCACACAAGCCCACACTACGCCTTCTGACCACTTGAGACATTTCTTTTCCTTGCTGCCACCGGTGGATTTTCTTTTATCCACAATACCAAGAACTGTAGACAAACACTTGCCTGATTACTGCCAACAAGTTATGTATTTATTAAGGTGTATTAAAGTTGTTCAGGATCACAGATGTTCTTTTATTTAATGCTTATAATCAGATCATTCAAGTGTCAGATAATTTTCTACATAATCACCACCTAGTATATTTATTCATCTTGACCAGCTTATCACTATTATTTATATCTTATCTCGATCTCCCTCTACAGTTTCTTTCTACCACTGTCAACAACCACCCTCAACCATCTCCACAATCAACCCCCTCCTTCTCTTGCCAAGCCCCTTATATCTGGTGACTCCGCCCCTCCACTCCTCTCACAGGTTCATGTAAATGAGACCCTGAGTGACGTAGTATGGCTTGGAGGATTCCAATGGGCTAGGAAGCCTTCAGCCTAACTTCTGTACTCTTATAAATGTTTGCTGTACTCTTATAAATGTTTTTATAAGTGTTTGCTAAATTTGCTGAGACCAGAGGTTTGGTCGCTATCCCAGTTTCTGTAAGGACCTTCCTTACTTTCCTACGTCATTTGTTTGATATGGGTCTGGCACATTCCACAAGTGTCAGCCATTGTTTCATATCAACCTGTGGGCTCAGATGCTTCCCACTTATTTTCACACCCTGTTAAGAGATTCCTACAGGGACCACACAATATTCGTCCTCCTGTCTGGCAACCGATCCCTCAATGGTCACTACAGACACTGTTGAAGGGGTCTTGCGCAACCTCCATTCGAGCCTATGGCCTCTACTTTTTGAAACTTCTGTCACTAAAGACTTTGTTTTTGGTGGCTATTACATCTGCGTAGAAAGTGAGTTAGTTGGCTGCACTACAGGCTGATACTTTATATACAGTTCCATCCCAATAAGGTCATCTTATACCCTGATGTTTCATTCCTCCTGTGATTTTGAATTTTCATGTTAATCAGCCTTTGATTCTCCCAACGTTATTTTCTAACCCTTCTTCAGATGTTGAGCGCAAGCTCCACTCCCTTGACATTCGTCGAGCTTTGGCTTTCTATGTTTCTAGGACTAAGGACTTCTGTAAATCTCCTAGATTGTTTGTCTGTTTCCATGGACCCAAAAAAGGTCATCCAGCTTCCTCTCAATCTGTGTCCAGATGGATAGTATCTGCCATCGCATTAGCCTATCAGCTGGTTGGCAAGACCCCACCAGATGTGCTGAAGGCTCATTCTGCTAGAGTCATAGCTACCTCTACTGCTTGGCTGCGTGAGGTTGATTTGTATGACATCTGTCGGTCAGCTACTTGGTCCACACCGATGACCTGTGCTACACATTACAGGCTGGATGTCAGAGCCAAACAAGAAACAAGTTTTGGAAGGGCTGTGCTGACTTCAGTTCTACCATGACGGCCCTCCTTCCAGTAAGTGAGCTTACTAGTCATCCATTCGTGTGTATTCACAGAGACCACAAAGAAGAAAGAGAGGTTACTTACCTGTAACCATGGTTCTTCAAACGGTACTCTGTGAATTCACACGTCCCGCCCAACCTCCCCACTGTCCATCATGGCTTGCCTATAGCGTTCAATTATCAGAACCTTGGCAGCGGCGGACATTTGGAACTGAGGTACCATGGGCGGGCGGAGCATGTACAACACAGGCAAATGTTTTATTGGTCAATTTATTTGCTCTAGAATATTCTGAAGAGTCCTGCGCAGGTGCAGTTTAACCCATTTGTCTGAATTCAGAGTATCACTCAAAGAACCATGGTTACAGGTAACCTCTTTTTTATTGCCTTCAAGTATGGCAGATACAAATTAAAGCTCAGTTTCTGCAATTAAGAGTAGTTTCACAACTTCCAAAGTAAAGCACAGCTCAGGCTGTTATCTCTTCTCCACCCTGAAGGATCCAATATTTACTTTTCTCAGAAGAGAAGAGGCATGTAACAAATAACAGCAAGAACCTGTTTGGTTTTTTTTTGCTGAAGTTCTATTCTCTCCTATACCAATGGGGTGCTTACCAGCTTGTTGGGTAGGAAAGAACAGAAAAGAGGGAGGCAAGCAGGCACTAGGTGGGCTACTTTTGCTAAAATAAATCGTTTGTAATGTGTCCACTGCATTCTATTAATGCTGAGAGCTGCTTAGAGCAGAGGTCCCCAACCCCTGGTCTGCAGCCCAGTGCCGGTTCGTGGCCTGAGACAACCTCCACCCATTCCTGCACGTACTCCCCCACACACAGCCCATTTGCGTCTGCGCCCATGTGAGCACTCCCCCACCCCTTCATGCATGCGCATGAGCGTGCACACGAGTGAGAGCGCCTGCATGAGCGCTGCACTGCCCTTTGTGCATGCGCATGAGTGAGCACCCACACAAGAGCATGCACACTGTGCATGCGCACAAGGGGGGGTCCGTGGGGCTAAAAAGGTTGGGGACCGCTGGCTTAGAAGACTCAAGCCAAAGCAAGGACATATACCTAAATTATTAAACAGAGAAGAATTAAACACCTCAATTAAGGTTTTCTGAATTTGTGGACTGCAGTTAATCGGCAAAATATATATTTACACTTATAACAGTGATTAACAAACAGAAGTATCTATGAAAAGCATTTCAGTTTATGACTTCTTCAGTTGCTTTGATAAATGTATGTTGTTTCCCAGCTGGCACAGTGAACCTCAGCTGACAGCCATATATTTACAGTGTATATTAAATATACAAATAAGTATTAAATATATTCATGGAATCCCTGAAATCTGTAACAAAACAAGGTACAAGGAACAAAAAATACATGGAAAATTTAAACACACACACAAAATACTACAAAAGTATTTAATATCTGCTATACTGAAGGAAAGCAAGTATAAATAGACACTGAAAATGCATATTTTAAAAGGGCACTCATTCATGTGTTCTGAATCGCTTTACTGTGTGTATTTCTTCAGGAGCTTTCCGCTTTTGTGATAAACCATCTTTGCTCTTCTGGAGATGGGCAGTGGCTTCTGACAAATGATAGTTTTCCATTGGGGGTGGTGGCTCCTTCATTAAAAAAAAGAATTTAGGTTTTACAAATCATTCTGTAAAGAACCCACCTATGTACTTTTGTTTAAAAACATGTCTTTGTTTTTATTGTCCTAATCCTTCTTAAATCTTACCAAACTATAGAACATGCATAGTAGGATCCAGTGCTTTTGGCTGTTATAAATCTTTATCCCAAACATTTGCACCAAGTCCTTTATCTAACCCCCACCCATTTTTGCTCTACTCTTCCAAATAGATAATGCCTGTTTACAGACTTACAGAAGTGCTAGCAGCCTAGCTAGAGTGTAAAAGTGGAAAACTCAAGTTGCCATGTATTACAGTGTCATATGAAATGAGAAAAATAAATATCCGTATGTCTCAAAAAGCCCATGTTGCAAACATAGTAAATAAGTGAATAGCAACTTAATCTCCACAATCTCTATACCTGAGGTACAACCCAAAAAACAGTGAATAAAAACTTTCCATAATCATACACACACACATCATCTTAAACCATACATCTGCAAAGCAATAACACATGCAACATCTTTCATATGCAGCTGCTCCATCACGAACAATATTCTAGATATATAACACTTCCTTATAAGTATAGTAGCATGCTTACTATACTACAGATATGCAAACCTGTATAAGGTAGTCAGCAATGTACTCTGGCTTCAAGCAATTTATTCCTTGATATACAGCCTCACTTATGTTCACTTTTGCATCCTCTGGTTTCAGTTTATTAAAATCAGCAAAAAGATGAGTAACTTCTTTAAGAAGAGAAAGAGAATGAGCCGGGAGCACCTGCAGATTCAAAAGTGCGAAGAAAGCCTGAGTTACTCTTTCATGTAATGTATGCATGCTATTATGTTTAAATCTTGCCAATACAAGGTCATAAAGTGAATCACTTTGTGGATAGCCTCCAGAAAGAGCATGGAGAAGGCATGTGCAATTTTTTTAAAAAAAATACCTTAACGAATATGGAGTACTGCTAATGGTGACTGATGGATACATTTGGGCTAGATGGGTGGGATAGAAATCCAATAAATAAATATATTCCATAGGCCTAACCTCCACCCAGTCCTTGCACTTCTTTCCTCATGGTGCTTCCCCTTTCCCACAATATCAACCTATCTTTTCCAGCTTCCCAGAAGACGGGGGGGGGGGGCAGCTGGGCAGATGCCTTTTGGTATCAACTCCATAGAAATGGGTTAATAGTACCATCCTTCTTTTACAAAAGCAACGTGTGCTACTTATATACTGCCCCCTAGTGCTTAAAGTACTCTCTGGGCAGTTTAAAATTTAATTATGCAGGCTATATATTAACCCACCCATCCTTCCATGAGCTGGGTATTCACAGCCTCCAGAATAGGCTGAGAAAGACAGCCTATTCACCAGGCTGTCTTTGTCATCTGACCTTAAAGAAACAATAGCAAAAAATGGGAGAGTATGAATTAGCTGCCACAGGCAACTAAAGAAACTGTCAACTAAGACTCACAAACATCAACTTCTGTTAAGTGAGAGTTCTGCTGGGATTCAAAAATAAAATTAGGGATGAGAAAATGCTCCCTATTCTCTCAGAGCTTAAAATGAAAGTATTTGCTTGATTTTCACATGCTACTTATATGTAAAAAAAGGAGTATTACATCCTCCCCCTTCCTAAGATTTAAAGCAGTAACAGGTACAACTACAATAACAGAAAGTACTTTAAAAAGAGTACTTTTGAATATGTTTAACAGGCTCTAGGGTCACATCTCTGAATTAAAGACTTCTGCTGATAAGACATGCTCCCTGCTTTATAACAATCCATCATTATGGGGAATAGTGGAAACCCATAACACTACTCTTACACAAGGAAAAGCAACCAAATGCCTATCTGTGATTGCTACCTGTACTAATAAAAGAAGACTTAGTTAAATACGCACCTTTGCTCCTCCTGACTCTAGCAGACGTTTGAAGCCTGCTTCCTTGACTGGGTCAACATTCAAAATAACTGTCCAACCACTAAATGCTCCCTAGAAAGACAGATTCATTTAAACAACACAAAAGTATAATGCTGCTAAATATTTAATTTCCTCATTTATTACCTGTCCCTTGTTTAAAATGTCATTTTAAACCACCTATCTACATTTCACGCACCATATTTTTCGCTCCATACGATGCACCTCTCCATAAGACGCACCAAGTTTTTAGGAGAAGAAAACAGGAAAAAAATAATCTGTTTTCTTCTCCTAAAAATTTGGTGAGCCTTATGGAGAGGTCCATCTTATGGAACACAACCTAGGACCCTTTGGAGGCTCCCCCTGCCCCCCAGGGGTCAGAGGGGGCAAAATTGCCACCTGGGACTCTTCTGAAGCTTCCCAAACCTCAAAAGGGTCCCAGAAGGTGGCGCTTTCGCCCCCTCTAGCTCGGGGGGGGGCAGGGTGAGCCTCCAAAGGGTCCTAGGGTGTGTTCCAGGACCCTTTAGATACTCACCCTGACCCCCCACGGGGCCAGCATGGGTGAAATCGCCACCTTCTGGGACTCTTTTGAGGCTTGGGAAGCTTCAGAAGAGTCCCAGAAGGTGGCGATTTCACACGCG